TCTAGATAGACATGCTTTTACTTGAGTTCTAGTGTTATCACTTCATTTTAGTTCATTAGGTAATGGATATAATCCAATGTCATATGTTGATCTATAACTTTAAACAAAGTAATAACATGTAAGAATAATTGAACACGGTCAATGGAATATCTGACATTTACTATATATTCAATTTTTATCCCTCAATCTATTTGCTTGCCTAACTTCTTTGACTACACGGTTTTATGGGTGTGTTAACCTTGAAAACTAACATTCAACATCGAATAACATTGAAGTGTGATCTCTCGATCTATCCCTACTAATTGTTAATTCGACTTGTACCACTAGAGGCCACATTCTTTCACTTTAAATGAAATCAGTTGCTTGACCTTACCTCCTAGCCCAATAACTATTACATTTATAGATTATCAATTAAATTGGAGCAAAAACAAGCATTACATGAGCACTTTTCAGGACATAATTAAAGGATTCTAATAGATTGGTTTTATATTGCCATACTCGTGACCGCTTCATAAGAAAGTTCTTTTTTTTTTTTGTGGTTCATACTCAAGCCATTCTTGATATGTTAGGTCTAGCTTGCATATTCCCAAGAACCATATATCAAACTTACATCTTAAAGGTTCATAACTCGTCTTCATCAAATCTTTAAATTTGTGATTGAAGTCACTGATGAAATGTTGAGCATAATATTAATGATATCCTAAAGGTTTTTGCAATATTTGTTCCATTCCATTATTAATTTATGCATGTGTATCTAATATTACACAGATGTTAGTTCATTCAATGGTAATGCATCGTTGCAAACAAATTATGAACCATCTCTAGTTGTAATTCTTTTATTTTTCAACCATTACAAAATCCAAAGGAAATATCCTATTATCTGCATAAAGCAACTGCAATCAATAATTTTCTATTATATCACTCATACAAATATGTACCATCAATACTATAAATAACCTATAACACTTAAGACCTTCAATTAAAGGTCCAAATGACTAGAAAATCTTTTTTAAAAACCAATGTGCTATCATTAAAATCTCCTTTATGACCCCACTCAACAATCATTCTAGGATGTGATTTTTTTATTGCCAAAAACAATCTTGACAACATTTCAAACGACTTCTCATGTGAACCAAAAAGATGCTTAAGTACCTTCTGTTTTATAACTCATGCCTAGTCGTTGTAAAATTTATACTTGTAATGCAATTTTAGTTTGTTTCACCATCATAAAAAGGTTATTTATCACAAATGATGAAACAACATTAGAATCAAAATCTTGCATAATATTAATGGTGATTTTCAAGACAAATATGGTGGTACAAGTGTGAGGCCTTTTTGACTTTACTATTCAAGTGAATCCAATATTTTATAGTATTCTATAAATAAATATTATTAGCATTCTAGTGCTTGAATACATTGTGATTAATAAAAAATAAAGGTTGATTATTGAACTCGATATTATAATAAATATTCAATATATCATCACTTAACTGCATTAACTAAATCACTTTTACTGCTAAATGTTTATCCATTTACCATTATTAGTATGAAGCATCATATGTTATTTTAAACTTAATGGATATAGATCATGATTCAACCTAATTCATGTTATTTTAATTTTCAATTGAATGAAATCAACCCTAATTGCATAAAATCATAGCTAATTTAATACAATTCAATCACAAACTCAATTTCAGCGACTTAGCCAAAACAATCAGCACAAAATATAATTGATCATAATTCAACCTAATTTATGTTATTTTGATGCTCAATTTCATGAAATCAATTCTAATTTCATAAATTAATATCTATTCAACGCAATTCAATCAAAACCTAATTTTAAATAAACCTAATTTTTAAACTAATCCTAATTTCAAGCAAACATAAATTAACTAAGAAATACACTAAATTTATAGAAATATAGGTTGTTTACCTTGTGTTTTCAACTGGGGAGTGGTGGTAGTCTAGCAATCGCGCTTTATGGAGTGGTGGCTGCACTATGGGAAACGAATTTAATGCTAACATTAATAAATGAAGGCTTAAAGATAGGGAGGGTGATTTTTTGGTGTTCTAAAGGTAAGAGTGATGGTTTTGATTGATTTTTTTATTGAGATAAACATTGTAAACACAAGTTTTGAAAAAGAGAAAAGGGGATGGGGGTAGTTATAAGGAAAAGAAAAGGGTAGCCAAGTTAAATTTCGTGTTTTATTGCAATTTATAATTACGGCGTTTAAATTATAAGTTGTCATGATTTACGATCGTGTTTTTTTTAAAGTCATATTATGAATTATTTTTATTTAAATCATATTGTGAATCATGACATAAATTTTAGTATTTAACTAAAAAAAATTTAATGTTACCTCTTAGCCCAATAACTATTACATTTATAGATTGTCAATTAAACTGGAGCAAAAATAGGCATTACATGAGCACTTTTCAGGACATGATTAAAGGATTCTAATAGATTGGTTTTATATTACCATACCTGTGACCACTTCTTAATAAAGTTCCTTTTTTTTTATGGTTCACGCTCAAGCCATTTTTGGTATGTTAGGTCTAGCTTGCATATTCCCAAAAACCATACATCAAACTTACATCTTAAAAGTTCATAACTCGTCTTCATCAAATCTTTAAATTTGTGATTGAAGTCACTGATGAAATGTTGAGCATAATATTAATGATATCCTAAAGGTTTTTGCAATATTTGTTCCATTCCATTATTAATTTATGCATGTGTATCTAATATTACACAGATGTTAGTTCATTCAATGGTAATGCATCGTTGCAAACAAATTATGAACCATCTCTAGTTGTAATTCTTTTATTTTTCAACCATTACAAAATCCAAAGGAAATATCCTATTATCTGCATAAAGCAACTGCAATCAATAATTTTCTATTATATCACTCATACAAATATGTACCATCACTATTGTAAGTGACCTATAACACTTAAGACCTTCAATTAATGGTCCAAATGACCAGAAAATCTTTTCTAAAAACCAATATGCTATCATCAAAATCTCCTTTGTGACCCCACTCAATAATCATTCTAGGATTTGATTCTTTTGTTGCTAACAATAATCTTGATAACATTTCAAATGACTTCTCATGTGAACCAAAAAGACGCTTAAGCACCTTCTGTTTTATAACTCATACCTTTTAGTAGTAAATTTTATACTTGTAATGCAATTTTAGTTTGTTTCACTATCATAAAAAAAGTTATTTATCACAAATGATGAAACAACATTAGCATCAAAATTTTGCATGATATTAATGGTGATTTTTAAGACAAATATGGTGGTACAAATGTGAGGCCTTTTTAACTTTACTATTCAAATGAATCCAATATTTTATAGTATTCTATAAATAAATAGTATTAACATTCTAGTGCTTACACACATTGTGATTAATCAAAAATAAAAGTTGACAACCATCTAGGTGGTGGCCAAGTGGTAAAAACTTGGAACTAAGGGGTTTGCTCCCTCTGTGGTCTCAGGTTCGAGTCCTTGGTTGCTCATATGATGGCCACTGGAGGCTTACATGGTCGTTAACTTTAGGACCCGTGGGATTAGTCGTGGTGTGCACAAGCTGGCCCGGACACCCACGTTAATCTAAAAAAAATAAAAATAAATAAAAATAAAAATAAAAGTTGACTACTGAACTCGATATTATAATGAGTGTTCAATATATCATCACTTAACTGCATTAACTAAATCACTTTTACTGCTAAATGTTTATCCATTTACCATTATTAGTATGAAGCATCATATGTTATTTTAAACTTAATGGATATAGATCATGATTCAACCTAATTCATGTTATTTTAATTTTCAATTGAATGAAATCAACCCTAATTGCATAAAATCATAGCTAATTTAATACAATTCAATCACAAACTCAATTTCAGCGACTTAGCCAAAACAATCAGCACAAAATATAATTGATCATAATTCAACCTAATTTATGTTATTTTTATGCTTAATTTCATGAAATCAATCCTAATTTCATAAATTAATACCTATTCAATGCAATTCAATCAAACCCTAATTTCAAATAAACCTAATTTTTAAACTAACCCTAATTTCAAGCAAACATAAATTAACTAAGAAATACACTAAATTTATAGAAATATGGGTTGTTTACCTTGTGTTTTCAACTGGGGAGCGATGGTAGTCTAGTCGTCGCACCTTATAGAGTGGTGGCAGCACTATGGGAAACGAATTTGATGCTAACATTAATAAATGGAGGCTTAAAGATAGGGAGGGTGATTTTTTGGTGTGTTCTAAGGGTAAGAGCGATAGTTTTGATTGATTTTTTTTATTGAGATAAATAGTGTGAACACAAGTTTTGAAAAATAAAGAAGGGGACGGAGAGGATAGTTATAAGGATAAAAAAAAAAAAGGAAGCCAAGTTAAAATTTATGTCTTGTTGCAATTTATAATTACGACATTTAAATTGTAAGTTGTCATGATTTACAATCATGTTTTTTTTAAGTCATATTGTGAATTATTTTTTTTTAAGTCATATTGTAAATCATAACATGTATAAACTTTAGTATTTCACAAAAAAAAAATTAATTGTGTTATTCAACTATTATTTTTAATTTACTTTACTAATTTTAAAAATATATCTCCTAAAGAATGTCAACTTGCCTAAAAAAACATATCATTTGATGGCGCCTACAATGTCTTAAGATCCCATTATCCTAAAAAAGGCCTCTTAAAGTTTTCTTTGACTTACCTAACGCAGTAAACTTTCCCCAAAGAAATCTTGCGAATGTCCACAACACACGCCCACTTTATTTGATTGTAACTTGAATTGCCCCCCGTCCTCATCTCACCCTTCCTCTTATCTCTGTTATTCAATTGACCTTCATTGACAAAGTTGAGGCCAAACCGTATGAGATGATATCCTCTGTTTTTTATCAGATTCCAGAGACTATTAATAACAAAGTTATGGCTACCATGGCATCTGCCTTGAGTTGTTATTATTACAATGTTTTGAATTCCATGGAGGGATTTCATTAGACTAAAAACTAACCAAATCATTTAATTGCACAAATGGCCATAACTGCATAGTCCATATTATACAAATGAATAATGAATATATTACACAATCAATCTACCACAACTTCTGAGGGTTTTCTTGAAGCACTGGGTGTCTATTACCACAACAAATCTCTTTCTTTCGTTTACCTTTGGAAAGAAAAATGTTCATCACCTGCATTTAAACTTCTGCGAAACTACGTTTACCTCTGGAAAGAAAAACGTTCATCACCTGCATTTAAACTTCTGCGAATGGAAAAAGACGGCTTACTAGCCACTGAATTGGTCTCAATAGCTGGGCTCTATTCTCGCGCCAGAACCAAATGGCTGCACTGTATTGTTCATTGCGTATTTTCTTTGTCGCTGCCTTCCAATCATACTTCTCCATATCTTGACGTGCTGCCTTACCAATGGTTTCTCTTAGTTCTTGGTTATCCAACAAAGGCTTTAACTTGCTCAAGCAGTCATCAAGATCTCCTGGATTAAAGAGAAACCCAGTTTTGCCATCCAGTTCTGGAGGAATTATATCTGGGATTCCCCCAGCACGAACTCCCACTACAGGAATTCCTGAAGACATGGCCTCCAAAACAACAAGACCAAGTGTCTCGGATTCTGAAGGCATAACGAAAACATCCCCACTAGCGTATGCCTGAGAGAGCTCTTCTCCTCCCAACATCCCAGTAAATACAGCAGGCATGCCAGTAAACATCTTTTCCAACTCCTCCCTGATAAGAAAGAATCCATGTTTCCTAAAATAAGATGCTTGGAATTATCAAAACAATCTTTTTTACAGGAGTAAATACGAATTTCATTGTCTAATTGTAATGGGAAAGTTTAGATATGGCTTAAAAGATCAATTTGAGAAATAACTTTGGTGGCAATTCAGTTCATAAAAATCAAATATTTGAAGCTGGAATGGGTTATAAATCATCACAAAGTATTTACTTCCCTTGAACTAATCTAAGTTTTAAAATGCAGTACCTATATGGCCCATCTCCAATAATGGCAATTCTTGCTCCTGGAAGCCTATCCATAACCCTGTTAAACCAAAGTCATCAAATTGCAAAGATAAGGGCAAAAAATACTAGTCATATATTAGGAAGAATAGAGAGAAGAAATATGACTCTGTGCAAAATGGGGCGAGGGGAGTACTTAAGGAAAGAAATAAACTAGAAAGGAAAAAAAAGACAAAGAATTATGATAGCTTAGTGAAGGAATTCCATCTCAAAATACCGCTAATAACAATAAAAAGTACCAGTCTGGCCACAAAATCCTTATTGGATACCCTTTAACTTTAAGGAAGATGTAATAGGTAGGATTAAAGGGGGAAAAAGAAAGAAAATTCTTGTTTATAGGAAAATGTTCTTGAGAGCATCTGATAGCAAAAGCAGCTTTCAGACACTTTAGTTGACAATTAACCACAGTCAATGAGATCAAAGCATACTGAGTCGGCTCTACCAGTGCTTCGATATTTGAACTTTTAAGAAATGGTGGGTCTAAATTTGAAAAATGTATTAAGTTTTGCATCTAGTGATCTAGGAAAACAAATTAAATTTTCATTAATTAAAAAGAAAAAAAAAAGTGAGAAAGGATCATATGATACCTTTTGAGAAAATCCAAACTCTTCTCGACTCCAAGTCTTCCAACATGGACTATCAATGGTTTTTCAGGTTCACCATTGCTGTTTAGACCAAAAATATATGATGCTCTGATACATTTGAGATTCCTTGTCTAATGAACTGGTTGTCAAGGATGAGAGGATGGCCTTACCTTAATCTCATTCGCATTTCATGAGAGCGGAAACGAGGGTGGAAGCTCTCAGAATCAACACCCTTATTCCAAAGACGAATCTTGTTAGCTGTAAACAAGGTATAACAATCAACTTAAAACACAGCTGTATGGACACAGGAGCAAAATTTCATTGAAGAGATTTCAGGAATAAAGCGCATTATGCACCAAAATTGACACTGGGAAAAGTAAAAAGCTAAGCAATCAGGAATTGGATGTTTATGTACACCTGTTGTCACCCTAGCTGCTTCAAGATCCCTCCCAATAGCAGCTGATGGCACTAGTGTGAGATCGGCTGCTCTGTGAAGAAATTCTGATGGAAAGGGAATGCATGTCATTATTGATAAAGTAATCAGCAGCCTGCAGAATTTCCAGAACTATGGGTACAAAATGCATAATACATACTTATGATCATCCACATGGGTTTCACCAGCCAGCTAAAAGTGTACCTTGGGATGTATCTGCAAATGAAAATAAAGAATTAAACTCAGTAAATAACCACTTGACACATCAAGGGACATCTGGCATAAGAATTTGAAGCAACAGCATAAACATGTGTAGCACAGAGCCAGAAAGGCAAACTCACACAGGGACATGAGTGTGATAGGACATCACAATGGGGACACTCAACAGTTTTGCAATCGCAAGGGCACCAAAAACCTGCGATACAAGATTGTGACTGCCAGCCATGCTTATCCAATAAATAATAAAGATTTGTTTGCTTCAAAGGCAAACCTCACCATTATCCCAGGTGACGATGCATGTATTATGTCAGGCTTAAACCGTGCAACCTCTGAAATTATTCTTGGACTAAGTGCTAGAGAAAGGGGCACCTTCTGATACCAGGGGAAGGGGAAGCTGTAAAGAGGGAAAAGTTTAAGAACCGTAAGGGGAAAGCTCAAATGTCAACTCTATTGATCAAGTTGGAATAATGCCCAAGCTCCTAGATTATGCAGCTCAACCAAGAAAATAATTAAAGCAAACCAAGGTAGGCAAACAGAAAATATAACAGAGAATTTAGAAGAAAAAAATGACGGGAAATAATGACTACCATAACTTGACAATCATACATGTAACCATAAAATAACCATAAAATAACCGTGAGGATGGTTGCAATCAGTGTTGTCAAAGGTGAAAGGCACTAAAAGACATCAAGCCTGTAAAATGCCCAAGGCGCTAGACACGCGCCTGGGCACCTACCCAAGTGACCAAGGCGATATGCCATATATATTGGATCAATAGAAAATCAAAAGAAAATATTAAATACCATAACAGTCACAAAAAGCTATATTTTTCACCTTTGAAACAAAATAAGATAATTTAAAGTAGTAAGTAACCAAATAAATTAAAAAGCAAAATTAAATATCATCATTATTCATTAATCTTCAAAAACATCTTCATCGATGCTTTCCTCTCCTTCACTTGAATCCTCCATTTCATGATTATAATCCAAATCCTCATCTCTCAAACCATACTACACTTGTATAGATGTATTGTTCTCTGACTCCCACTATTGAAAAAAGAAAGCATGGCTGGTGTTTCTCTTCTAATTGTCTCCCACTTTAATCATTTTTTTACCCTAATATTTGATTTTTACAAAAATATTCCTCAGTTGTTTCTCGTGGTAAATTAAAAAAAAATAGACAAATAAGTCAAAACATAAATTAATTAAAAAAAAAAAGAAAAATCCAACAATAAAGGAAGAACTTCAAGCAAGCGCTAGCCTTAACGCCTTGCACCCACTCACAAGGCGCTTGCCTAGACAGCGCTTCATTGAAATCTAAAATCCAACGCCCGATGCTAATAAAGGCATTGGGGCCTCACCTTTCCTTACCTCAACGTCTCTTGACAACATTGGCTGCAACACTAATTGACACTAAAATTTTTTAATGATCAATATTGCATAACCACAGTTCTGATGGGCTAAAACAATACACCCCCTTCAACTCGTCAATATATTAGGATATGATAATGTACAAGCCACAGGAAAAGAGCACACTAGAAAAAGGTTGTTGTAGCGACCTCCGTGATCCAATCAGTTTGGCTCCATAAAATTCCTGGGGCACCCCTTCATGTGTTGTCACAACCAACACCTGCAAATTACTAAGCTAACTTGTTGATATTGTGAAGTGATAGAATTTTTACCAAATAAAAAATAAAAAAAGTTTCAAAATCAATGTCTTTGTAGCTTAAACATGCCAAACTGATTAGGCTGGAATTAACAAGTAGAAAGGTAATAACAAGCTATATCAAAAGCTTTGTCTATTCAACTCTAATTTCTTTTGAATCATTGTGTTCAGGGGTTTCAAAAATTTAAAGTATCATTCCCAATCTAAGTAAAAATGAATATTGGAGAATTAGGTTTCCTGATATAAAATCTGTGAACAAGCGATCTGGTCTCTATTCATGTAGCTCAATTATTAAGTCACATCAGTATGCATAGACAATAAAAAACAAAATAAAACCATAGTCATGTAGCACTCAAATCAAAGTATTATAAATCACCTCATCCCCCATTTCGCGTAAAAATTTGATGAAATTCTGGAACCGGTTTTTATACCCTGACACATACCTGTAAAACAAAAGGAAATAGTTGGTATTCAATAAGTGCCCATTATTCAGTCTCAACTAACAAGCATAAATTGAAGATACGAAAAACAAAACAGAATCCCCGTTAATGAAAAAAAAAACTAATTATAGTGATAAAACACGTCAATATATGAAACATTTCTATGATGACATCCGCTCCTCCAGGACAACTAAGCAAAGAAGACTGAACAACTAAGGAAGGCAGGCTCACTTACTGATAGAGAAGAGAGAAAATAGGAGAAAGCAAGGACAAGTCACCGGAGTGCCACCATGGCTGTGATGACTACACACATCACACCAATGGAAAAAAAAAAAGAAAAAAGAAAAAAGAAAAAAAGAGAGGCTCAAAGCCCATTGGCTCATAGAAAGAAAAGAAAAGAAAAAAGAAGAAGACATATTTAGTCAAGCTGTTCGGCCAAAGGCCCAACAAACAAGACCAAACAACCACCTATCCAGACAAATTGGTTGGGCCAAAGGCTCTACGTTAAAAAAATTGAAAAGACTGAACATCAGTCTAGCTGTTCGACTCAAAAGAAGCCTTGATGACAAATCAAGCCTGAACAACAAAAGAAAATCTCTCCAGGACAGCTAAGCAAAACTTACTGAATAGCTACGGAAGGCAAGCTCACTTACTAAGAGAGGAGAGGAAAAAAAAAGAGAAAAAGGAGAGAGGAAGGAAAAGTCCCTGAAGCGCTACTGTGGCTTTGATGACAACACGCATCAAACCAAAAGGAAAATCTCATCAAGGAAAATTCAACATTCAACGACACCAAAAGACATCATCAGAGCCACCAGAACCAAAACAAGCTCACGTAGCGGGACTTGTTTACATGATGGCTTGTATAATACAGGTGCTAGCTAATTTTTCTCTCTTTTCTCCAATTTAATCCCTAATTCTTCTGCAACTCTCCACTCCAGTCCCTAAGTTTACTTGACCGGACAACATGCAAGGTAGGAAGGAGTATTTTTATGCTCTAGCATTGTCAGAATGGTGTTGCACAATAACATCTATCAATGTTATGCAACGCACATCTAATTCCCTGATGCACTCAGTGTTAGGCACTATTTCCCTGATGCACCGTGTTTCCAAAAATTTCATTTTTTTAGTTAAAATTTAATGTGTTTTATAAGTTTTGGATTTTTTAATATACTAATATTAAAAATAATTTTAAAAAAATAAAAAATAATTATTAATATATATTTTAATATAAAAAATTATTTAAAAATAATTATAATCATACTGATAGACTAGTAGTGCACTGTCAAGTAGACTAGTAGTGCGGGGCTGCACAATTACCTCCTAGTGTTATGCAGCCCATACCTAATTCTTCGTGGCGGTGTTATTAGGGTAGGCACCTACCTTTCTTGTCAATACACGCTTACCTGTTTCGTTAATGATTAGAATGAAGCTTACATGAACAACTTGTTTACAGGTTACCTATGTGGTAATAAAGGTAATTATTTTTCATGATTATCCTAACATGATATATCTACAACTACACTCTTCACAAGACAAATTCATGTGACTGAGGTACATAAATACCTTAGATCACAAGATAACAAGTCATGATACAATACCTAACACAACAATCATAAAACATACCCTTCTGCATTCTCGTTCTTTGCTGTATATTATTTTTCTCCTACTTTTATCAACCTAAGCGTTGAAGGGTCCCTATTCTGATAGGGGACTTGTTTGCAGGAGTTCATAAGCCACAAGCCTAACTAAAAAAAATTCCGCCAAAACCCATTGCACTAGTCATGGAAAGGCCCTACTTCGTCAATTTGTTACAAGTAGTTATATTTACCACCTCTAATATTTAGCTTCTACCCTCCCAACTTAGAGTTCGCAAAACAAGTTCTAAAACAAAGGGGTTAACAATTTATATCTTATACCGCAAAAGTCTTCAGTAATGAAAATCTGGAATGTGTGATCGAGCAACAATTAACCAGAAAAGAAGTAGTGACGATTGCAATCAGTGACAAAATGCTCCATATGGTAAAATACGCCAGTCAAGCAAGCACTTCCCAGAAACGATGAGTTTCTTAGACTCTAAATAACAGAACAAAATATAAAAGGTAGACAACTACTAGGTGACCCGTTAAAGTTCAAGTATGCAATTATAGCTAGTGAGTTTCTATAGAGCAGAATACTATATGAACTCCACGATATGCAATGAGCTAAATAAACCACAGGCCACGGAAATAGAAGCCATAAAACACAGATGCATATGTTTAATCAACCGAGGTAATGGACTATTGGAACTATCACCCAACTGGATTCAAACTTCACAACATTGGCAGTTAGCAGAACCTATGACATAATCATAAAAATCGCAATAGCTACTAGGGCTAGCTATTTTTAGTAATCAAACAGCATGACTTGAAACAAAAAAAGCAGATGTAAACAGGAAAACAAAACGAAAATCATAACCTGAAATTGTCACAGTCGTTTCATCAAACACAAAGCAATCAAAGAAACTCAAAGTCAACGGCAGCTTCGAACATCAAAAATTAATCAAACAATGCAATAAACTAGCACTAAGCCCGTGATTTTTCAAGAAATTGAAATCAACAAAGTAGTCAAGACTCACGCAAATGGAGAAGGCTCAACAAAAAGGGCAATACGTCTTGGCCTCGAAATGGTCTCATAATCAAGGAAAGGAGGATTCTCTTCATCTTCTCCAACTTCACCGCGAGTCATATTGTTAGTCGCTTTTAGCTCTAACAAGAAACACCCTTTATGTCTTTCACCCTTTTTAGCCTCCTAAACTCAATAAAAATACTTTCTTCGCAAGAAAGAATAGTAGGTTTTGGTTTAAAAGAAGAAACGTTGAAACTTCAAGAGAAACAAGAAGTGGGTACAAGAAAGAAGAGGAGGACGACGCGGAAGGAGAAGAAGAATAAGTGGTGGTACATAAAAAAATGAGGAGAGAGAGTATGATTTATAGAGAGAGAAGTAGAATGTGTGACGATGAGGGAGTAATTTAGCTGGTGGAGTAGCGAGTTGGATTTTGTAGATTGATTAATACAGTGAATTAGAGAAGGAATAATTTTCATTGTAGAAAGGAATCTTGAAGGGGCATGAGGGAAATAACAATAGCACATTATCAATGAATATTCCCTATCTTGAAGGGGCATGAGTCATATTCTTCCATTGATGCCTCGTCATTGAGGCATCAATGGAAGAATATGTAAAGGCATATGCTTTCAGCCCATTGAGAACAGATGCTTATCTGTGATGGCTATGGTTTTTGCCCCTCTTTCTTTGCTATTATTGTAGATTTTTCACTTCCTGCCAGCCCAAAGAAGGATATATACACAAGCCATTTTTTATATATTTTTATGTTCAAGAGAGGGAAGAAGAAAATGTTTTATTCCCAATTTGTTTACGTGTTCAAATTAATAGCTTAACTGGTCAAGATCATCTGAAAAGAATAAGAACCGAATCTTCTTAGGTTGGGAGACAATCTCTTTACGAGATTAAAGGGAGAATTAACCAAAGGTAATTGATGTAATGGTACCGAGTTCTTGAAAAGGATTGGTTCGGTGTGACAAACGACCAGACTCATTTGAACTAACATTTAAAGTTTGAGACTTGCCATTAGATTTTTTTATTAAAAAAATATATAATATTCACTTGGATTTAGAGTATGTTCAGTAATTTGGTATCAATTGCTTATATTGAAAGTGTTTTTGATTCGAAAACAAATAAAAATAATGATTTCTCATTTTATTTTATTTTTTACTTTCACACATTAAACATATTTCAAAGCACTTAAAAATATATCAATTTTATATTTTTAAAATAAAAATAATTTAAAAAATATTTTTATAACAGCCTGAACCACAATAATAAATACATCCTTAATTTTATTAATATATTTCATCATATATATATATATATATAGTAAGCTATCTCTAAAAATGTAAATGTGAATACAAAAGAGATTAAATTAATTGAACAAAAAAGTATAATGGTAACATTGACTAGTGCTATCTAGTTGTTCTAATAATTAAGGAGATATGTTAATTTCCTTGATTTGTTGAATTTAAACCTATTGTTCCTAGTAGAATTTATTAAATGTCTCAAATGCATCATGTTAATGTAAAAAATACATCTAAAAAATCTATGTTAGAACATAAACTATACAAAAAAAATACATATCACCATCAAATAAAAAATAAAATAAACTTGTGTGGTCCGAAAACATAACATCACCATCATTGTTCATTCACATTTAGAACAAAACTACAGACCACATGCAGAAAATAAATCTTAAAAAACAAGATTTCACTTTTGTGTTGTAGTTGTGCCCAAAATCTAACTATAATCAGAATGTTGCACTTTCTTTTCCTGTAGACAACCCTACTGTAATATGAAGTAAACATCATCCTATATTCTTTTATATATATATTTGAAAATACAATATAAATTATGTTTTGTTAAATTTTAAAATATTTTTATTAAAAATTAATATTTTATATTTTTAGATCTCTTTATCGTGTTAGTATTAAAAATAATTTTAAAAAAATAAAAAATACTATTTTTATAAATATCTAAGTAAAAAGTAGATTAAACTGTCATCATTACTGTAATCCCAAAAATAACCCTTAAGATATGCATGAACTACTTGATTGGCCACTGTGCATCCTGTTAAATTTGTGTGGCCATGTGGATACAAGAGTAATAAATGTCAACATAAAATTGTTTGTCGTTTTATTTGACAAATATATCGTTACTTGGACAGGCAGGGCCAAGGAGTGTACAACGTGATCATCCATTTCGATGCAGACAGCTAATATGTTTTGCACAGCGTGGACATGAACGTGCAGTATCATTCCTTTTCTCTCTCTTTTTTACTAAAAATGTTGTTCAAATGGATTTCTCATGCAGAAATATCGAATAAAGAAGAAATTTGGTGAGAAATATTTGATTATAAATATGAGTTTTTTACTGTGAAGTAAATTAAATAAAACTTATGATAAATAAGGTTGTTTTTTTAAATTGCTAATTCTATTATATGAATATTTATAAAATCAGAAAATGATACTTGTCACTTAATTATTTATTACTTAGAATTTAATTTTTCAATGAGATAATTATTTTATTAATTTAATTTATTTTAATTATTTTTAATTTTTATAATTGTTGGGATAAAAGTGAATAATTATTTTATTAACAATTATATAGTTTTATTAAAACATTTCAAGTTTATATAAATATGTTATTACATATAGAAAAATGATATAAAAAATATTTATATTTTTTTTTTTAAGATTTAGAGGATTTAAATGTTACATATAGAAAAATGATATAAAAAATATATTTTTTTTTAAAGACTTAGAGGATTTAAATGTATTTTAGAGATGTTATATTATGATAAAACTGAATATATAAACATGTTATTACACAAAGAGAAATGATATATAAAAACACAAATGTATTTTATTTCCTTTATATATATATATATATATAGTAGGTTTAGAGAACGTGATTTATTTTAAAGATATTATCTCTATATAGAATAAATGAATATCTTAAAAACAGTATTTTCATAGAGAACGTGATTTATTTTAAAGATATTTGATTTCATACCCCTCAAAATCAAATAAATTTTACTTTTTATTTGATTTCATACCCAACAAATTACTAACAAAAACTGTCTTTTAACCCATGCATATTTCAAAACATTCTCACTCTTTTCTTATATAGAATTACTAATCCAATGTAAATATACCATTTTATAAGAATTTAGATAGAATATAGATTTCCTACTGGGGGCTTCGTAACAAGTCGTCTCTTTCATTTTTAAGATAAAAGTAGGGAAAGCTGCTCTTTCATCATACATTTTATTTCACATCTTTACGTAATCCCTTGCTTCTGGACAATGATCTTTGACCATTTTAAGTTGATGTTACCTTTAAGAAAAGAGTATATATATATACAATAAAATATCAAGCACCTATAAACCAAAATATTCTTGTTGTTTTTAATAAAAAAAATTATTTTTTTTATTTTAAATTAATATTTTTTGGTATTTTAAAATTATTTTAATATTTTAATGTCAAAAATAAAATTTAAAAATAAAAAAATTATTTTAATATATTTTTAAATAAACTTTCTTTGAAAATACAATCGTTATCGTATTCAATACACCCATAGTAAAAAGGCTGTTACCTATCAATTTTTATATCCAACTTGCGTCAAAATCTGAGGATAATTGTAAATGCCACTGGATATACTCTTAATGTTATTTTTGTACTCAAACAGCGGGATCGTGCACTAGCTAATAATTAATGTTAAAAAAAGCCCTATTATTATAACGATACAATAGCTAAAGAGAACTTTATATAAGTTCATGGCCCAGGTTGATTTTCTCAGTGATGCGTGTTTAATTAACTAATGGAGATTTGCTGGCGCAAAAGTCTGGATAATCTCATGGGACATGGTTAGTTTTCCTTGAAAGGAACTTCAAATTGAGTTTCAGTTTGCTTCCTTCACTCAGGATGAGTATTTTTTATTTTAAATTAAAAAAATAACAGTTTTGAATCTTAAAAAATAATGAAATTTAATTTAATTTGTTTGACTGAAACTAAATAATTTTGATTTAATTTGGTCAGGTTTATATTATTAAAAAACTAAAATAACACAAGAATGATCTTGCGTTGAAAATAATCTTGCAGTTAATGACAGCATCATCTTTTTTCCTTGATTTTCACAAAAACCCACAAAAAAATCATAAAAATTCAATATATAACTTTAAAACAAACAAAAAAACACATATTATTGAGCTTGTGAGCTTGTGGGTTAGACTTATCAATAATATTATTAGTTATTATTGATAAATTCAAAAACACTAATAGGTGCTCCACTAGTCTTGGAGCTGCCTGCAGACCTTGATTAGATCCAAAGGGTGAGTGGAGCAACCAATAACCACTGATGCAATACCTTCTTCAACAAAACTCTTCACACTCATGATATGATTGATCAGTTTGATAAATTAAAAGATTTCATGTTACTAGTTGGATTTCAGGTCTTAGGTCTTAGAAACGTGGAAACGAAAATTAAGGCTAAAAGCAATGGAAAAAGAATGGGGGATGTTTTGTCTTTGAGATACATGCTAGATGAAAATAGAAAATACAAGAGAGAAAAAGAGAGATTGAGATGCTGGGAGAGAGAGATGGATAAATAGAGTCTTGGGGTGTATCCTGGGTTTTTTTTTTAATTTTTTTTAGTTTATTTTAAACTAAACTGAATTAAATTTTATTTAGTTTATTTTAAACTAAACTGAATTAAATTTAATTTGGTTTGGTTTATTTAATTTTAATTTTTTGAAATTAAACTGAACTAAATTTTTTAATTAGTTTAATCAAATTTTTTTATAATTTAATTTTTTTAATAAGTTTTTTTTCTTACCCCTAACTTTACTTGTCCTTAATTGATGTGGGGGAAAAGAATACACAGGCTAGCCTGGTAAATTTTTTTAAGAGCAAACCATAATGTTATATTTGAATTATAGACAATTATAATTTTGCCACCAAACATTTTCTTATAACATTTTTACCTTTAATGTTTTTTTTTTTAAATCTCAATCAAGGACTACATCTATTTTTAAACTTTTTTTAATCTAAATTGCACTTAAAAAATCATTTTATAGAAAATTTAATGTTTTTTAATAAATGATTTTAGTGGAAATCCTAATTGAGGAATCAAAATAGTTTAAGGTAAAATTGATATAAAAAATAGTTTAGGACAAAATTGATATTAAGGATATATTTGATTTTCATCTTTTTTTAATAATTGGATGTATTCTCTCACGGATGTTTCATATGAAATCCTTTTGTTAGGCTGGCAATTCATGTGATTTTGGTTTTCACTAATTGACATAAAGTTTGAACTCAAATTGCATAAGTTTGGATAAGTGAAATTGTTCATTATTTTAATAGAATTTTGTTAAAATATAATGGCTTGTTTGATATTATTGTATTTGTGATATGTTGCATTGTTAAATGAACGTAACATTAGTAAAGGTAGTGTCTAGAGTAACTCGTAGTTATATTTGTAAGAACTTGTGCTACGTTAATTATAATAATGGTGACCTTTAAAATTAGCTATTTTTCTTT